TGGTGCTTAGTGTCAAAATGAGGGGAGTAAGATAAAACTCCCACTGAACAGTTTTCCTTGGGTTTGGTGATGAGGGTAATAGGATTTTATGATTCACTTGCGAATAACTGTTATCAAAACTAATGGTGATGTCACAACTGTAAATGTGGAAGACATGTAACTAAAAGAGGGGGAGCAGTTAATCTGTCATTTCAGGAACAAAAGACCATGGGACTATCAGAGAGAAGAGCAAGAGAAGAGCGAGGGATCCTAACCAGAAAATGGCGACAACAGAGACGGTAGCAGAGGACTATAGGTCCATGGACTAAGGAAAATGGTGTGCCTGCGGGCAGGAGGCTGGCTTGCAAAATGTGCCCTTTGGACATTTAAACGAATATATATTTTCAATGTGGTATGTGTACATTAAAAAACACACAAAACAATGGATTACATTATCACCATTTGAAACTAAAGACTATTATGTCACTTAATGATTTCTGTCTTCTACTTAAGTTGATGAGATAATCAGGACACAGGAAAAGCACAGTGATTATAATTAAGGCCTGAAAACAGGCTGTATATGTTCGAATCCCAGCTTCTCACTGAATAGCAGTGATTTGCTAGTTATTTAACCTCTGCGTGCCTCCACAAACCTTGGAATTAGCACAATGACAACTTGCAACAAGAAATGGTGCAATAATATTTCATTTTGGTTGGAACAATATATAATTATCTTATTTCAGTTCTAGATAAAATCTTATATGAATTTAAATCCAAATGATTGTAGAAGACATAGCAAACAACTCTGAGGAGCAAGAAATTGACTGCATTTGACTTCAAGCTCTAACTTATTTCCCACCAAGACAACTGACTTGAGTCTAGATCTGGACCCAATGTACAACAGGAGAAATACCTGTCATTTACAAAGTGCTCTATAATATTACATTACTGTACAGTCATTACTTTAGTAAATTTATTCTAGAGATACTGTTTCGTATCATTTGTAATGAAAAGAGAAGAGACAAGATTCAGGCACAGCAGGCAATCTTTCCTACTGAAGAGAAAAAATCATCTAAGATCAAGGGCTTGAAAGTACATGAAATACTATGTCTGTTCAATGAGATGTATGCAAGACACTATACGCAAGTCTGAGTTAGTCCAGTAGAAGTAATATCAAGGCTTGGTTGATACAGCATTGTGGCTCTCCTGTCAAAGCCAATCCAAAAGACTTGTAACGACAGTATCAAAAGCGTCCCCAAACCAACTATTAGAGTAGCACTGGTAATAATGAAGGAAACCTTACGACAAACTCTGTTTCACTGTATCAAATACCAGCTTAACTGATTCCAGGGAAACAAAATATACATATGACAGAGTCAGCTTATTACAAAAGTGAGATCTCAATACCGATATAAATTTGATAGCACAGGCTGAAGTGTAGTATTTTAATACTGGAAAAGTCAAGGCATAAAACTAAGGGTTAGTTCCCATTCCCATAACAGATCAAGCAAGATTTCACTATTAAATCACAGTTCAAGATGCACAACAGCCATCTGAAAATTCTTAAACTTAATAATTTGTTATCGAAAGGTGCAGTCAAGTCGCTTCCAACTCACAGTGACCCTACCAATAACAGAATGAAACCTTGCCGATCCTGCGACATCCTCACATTATGTTTGAGTACACTGCTGCTGCCACCGTGTCAATCCATCTCAAAGGGGGCCTTCCTCTTTTTTTGCTGACCCTCTATTTACCAAGCATAATGTCCTTCTCTAGGAATTGGTTCCTCCTGACAACATGTCAAAAGTATGAGAGATGAACTCTCACCATCTTCACTTCTAAGGAACAATCTGGCTGGACTTCTTCCAAAACAGATTTGTTTGTTCTTCTGGCAGTCTGTGGTACTTTCAATGTTCTTTGCCAACACCACAAGGCAAATGCATCTATTCTCCAGTCTTATCCATTGTCTAACTTTCACATGCATATGAGGCAATTGAGAATACCATGGTTTGGGTCAACGCCAATAATAATGGTTTATATCCTAGTCAACTTGTTTGTTTTCACTTTTACTGAAACTGTGAATCATGAAACTGGTGGTACCTTCCTTTCTGTCGTTGTTGTTGTTATGTGCCATGGCGTCAATTCTGACTCATAGCGACCTTGTACAGGGTTTCCAAGGCTGTGAATCTTTACGGGTGCTGAAAGCCTCATCTTTCTCAGCTGTTAGTTTCGAACTGCTGACCGTGAGATTAGCGGCTCATTTGTAACCACTACGCTACCAGAGCTCCTTCCTCTCTGTAGTGGCTGCTAAAAAGCATAAAGAAAATTTTACAGTAAACATATAACCTATTGAGTCAACTCTAACTCATGGTTTTGCTCCTCATGGAACTACTCTTATAGGATTTTCTTGACTGTAACCTTAGTGAAGGCACATAACCAGGTTTATCCTCGATAACACCACAGGGTGGGTTTAAATCACCAATCTTTCGGATAATTGTTGTTTTAAGTTCTATGGAGTCCGTTTCAACTCACAGCAATCCTATATAGAGTTTCTGAGGAGCAGCTGGTGGGTTTGAACTGCAAACCTGCAGCTAACAGTCCAGTGCTTATTCTACTGCACCACACCAGGACCCTAGATTAATAGTTAATTGTTGTTGTTAAGTGGCTTCGAATCGGTTTCAATTCATAATGACCCTATATAGTATTTCCAAGGAACTGCTGGTGGGTTTGAACTGCCGACCTTGTGGTTCGTAGTCCAGTGCTGATCCACATAATAGCTAAGTGTAAACCATGTGCACCACCAGGGGCTCTTAGTAGTCCTACTCCTGTTTTTCTTGCCTTTGCCTATTTTTCATGTCTCAGTCCTTTCTTTTTTTAAAAAAATCTAATGAACTGTATAAACTGCCTTAAATCCTTTCTGAAACACAACCTTCAAACCTGAAACTGAACCCACTTGTAGAGATCACACTGCAGTCAAAACACAGGCAGTAACACTTGTTAGGAATGTGCTACTCATAATAATGAACCATATGAGACCCAAAGAGCAGCATCTGTCCCTAAAACAAAGCTCAGAAGGCAAGAAGGGCAAGAAAGAAGGGCAAATGGAAATGGTGACCCTGAAGGAATCAGGACGAGCACCACTACATTGAGGGAAATGCAACTAATGTGTATAAATTGGTGGGTGGAAAATATGCTCTGTAAACCTTTATCCAAACCAAAACTGAGGGGGAAAAAATCCTTTCTGCAACAAGGGAGAATATAAATTAGCTAACTAAATCAAAAGCAACACAAAAAGTTTAAAACAAACAAAAAAGCAAATAATACCTTTACATCAAAATTACAATCCAGTCTTCTAATTAACACGATGAAAGTGCCAGATGAATTGTCTCTTAGAGGTGGAGGCACTATGGGTTCACAGGCATTCTCTGGTTTTGAGTTAATCAGAAAACCCTGAAAAATAGAATCAACAATAAGTTAGCTCTCTGCTGTACTCAATCAATCAACCCAGCTTACTCCTTCAAATATCTGTAGAATTTGTTTCAAGCTTATACATTATGATGGATGCATTATCTGGAAACAATAACAGTTCCTATCCTACAACTGCTCACAAGCACAGATCTAAAACAGTACTGGGTTTCAGAAACATTTAGGTTTTAAAAATAATTTCCATTCTATTTCATTATTATTATTTAATTAATTAGCCATAAACCAATCATCCCAGTACAACACTGTTAACATGTCGGTATATTTCCCAATAACGTTTGATTATTCTAAACCAAGTAGATACTTTAAAAAAAATACTTTTCAACTTCGTATTATCAAAATGATAAAGATGTATAACATTTCCAGGAATTTATCCTGGAGAAACACTAGCCTGAATGTATAAAGGTATATGCAGGTAGCTGTTCATTATTCCATTATTTTTAATAGAAAAATTGAATTATACACAAGTCAGACATTTAGTAAAATATACTACATTTATACATCAGAAAAATAAAGCAGTCATTTAAAAGATTTAGGGAGACATATACACACACACATACACACACATACATAAAATGTAAAATATGTCTACAAAATATTATTCTGTAAAGAGAACAGAAAATTGCTTTCCCAGGAATGCAGAGGTGTTTGGCATTAAAAAATGTCTTTACATATATTACATCTATAGACAAAAATGCAAAAACAAAATAACTATCTTGAAAATATTAATAAACAGTTACATGATCAATTTCATTAAATTCTCTTATAAGAAGAAATCAGCAATTAAAGTCATAGCACAATACATTACTAGTCCTAAATGGTGCTTGAATTGAGCACATCAACCATCTATTTCATGAGATGTGGCAATTTCTCCGACTTAAATTGCATGGCTTGACTTGTGATATAGAATTCTTTTGTATGCAATTTCCTCAATAAAACACATGATACCTTTATTTATGGTTATGGATTGAAATGTCTCCCCTAAAAAGAAACATGGAAATCTTAACTCCCAAACCTGTGAATGTGACCTTGTTTCAAATAGGGTTTTTGTTATGCTAATGAGGCCATACCAGTATAGGGTTGGTCCTAAACTTAATTATTTCTGTCTGAGAGGTGTTGAACAGACATAAAGAAACATGCAAAGGGGGAAAACAATTACCAAGTGAGGATGACTATGAGCAAGGACTACCAGTAACAACAGAAACAAGGAGAGTGGGTCCCAGAAGGAATCAACACAGCCAAGATCAATTTTCACTGGTAGCCTACAGAACTTTAAGAAGATAAATTTCTTTAAAGACCCCACTTACAGAGTTTATTGTTACATCACAATTATTTAACTAAGACATCTACTCATAGACTAGTTTCCTGTCTTGGTTCATAAAACATTTGGTTTTCGCTTTAAAGGGAAACAAAATTGTGGTAATTCTTCCAAGGATTACTTGACTCACTCAGGTTAAATTTATATCCCGCTGCCTTTTCTTTGCTTTTCTCACACACACTAACTTTTTACTTTAAAGCCAAATCACACCGTGCACTTTTATTTTTCAAGACACTTATAATGGCGATTAAGTATACTCTATAGCGTAGTGGTTACGATTCAGGCTGCGAACCTCAAGGTTTGCAGTTCGAAACTACAAGCTGCTCCACGGGAGAAAGATGAGGCTTTCTTCTCCCGTAAAGATTTACAGCCTTGGAAACCCTGTACAGGGTCGCTATGGGTTGGAACCAACTGGACAGCACTTAACAACAACAATGTATACTATCAACAGGGCATGAAACAAGTAGAGCCAACACAAACAGTTAAAGCCAAATTGCCCACATTCAGGTAATGACAACTCCACTGTCACCTTTCTCATAGCAATAAAAAAATCATGATAGCAACATGCATGATCTCAGAGACATTTTAAAATGGGGAACAAAAAAAATGCAATGCAGAACCTTTAAAATATGGTATATAGAGACACAAAAGTATGAGGGTGAGTCAAAACTTACC